TACAAACCTCCCATCAAACACAAGACCACATTGAGCCTCCCCTTGAACTAAATTCATATGATCCGACCATCTTGTACCGCCGTTATCACCCACGGAACCCGCCGCCTGACCACACCTTTTTCGTCAGGAAGACTTTCGACACAAGGCACACGGATCTACCAGCCCTTCCGGCTCCACGGGGAACATGCCCCGTCATCCACATCGCAACTGGGCTACCAACCGTGGCTCTGATACCAATTGTTAGGATCAACAATTCAAAATCCAGTTCTCCGTCAAGCCCAACATACAAGCCCAAATGGGGTTCCATTCTAAAACCAAATTGGCAATAAAAGAAGTAGCCCACCAAACTTATATATTGGACTTGGAACCTTTAATTTTTCGATGTGGAATTGGGTTTGCACACCCTACATAGATCACATGACTCTTATCCTTTTTTTTTCAATTAATTTTCTCTAAGACATTTGATTGGTGTATCTTTTTGGCTTCACAATAAATAGAAATGGTAGCATAGCATTATTATCTTTTGCCAATCTATCTAAATAACCAAATTATCATAATTTAAATATTAGGTTATCTAGAGAATCGTGGTTGGAAGGCACATACAGTCACATTCTTATGTCCATGGAAGCTACGAGTTAATATGACCCGTCAATTGATATGGTTATGTCAATGGTGGCTACGAGTTAATATGACCCATCAATTGGTACGACATAACCATTAAAGTAAAATACTAAAATAGAGAAGAGAATCCAATCATACAACAATCAAATTGTGATGGTATTTTAACTGGGATTTGGAAGCACTAAATAAAAATGTAAAATATAGAAAAATGAAATAAAAGAGCAATAGAAAAAGGAAAGTCAAAACACACAAGTGACAAGACGATGTCAATAATGGCACATCAAGAAGGGGGAAATTCTACTAAAAGGCCTAACTTTTATTAATTGTATTAATTTAAGGCCTGAATTTTTTACTTCTTCAATAGAAGACTTATATTTTAGGTTATTCTCACTTTAAGACTTACATTTTAGTTAACTTTTCATTATAAGGTCCAACTAACTTTACTTTTTCATATAAATATGTAAAAAAATTATTATGTGAATAAAATATTATTATTATTATTATTATTATTATTATTATTATTTTATGATTTATATTTTGCATACTTATAATTAAAAAAGTAATAAATATCATTAGCAAAAAAATTAATAAAAATTAATTTCAACTTTTTTTTGGAAGCAAAAGTTGATACTATGTATGCTTGTTGAAAATGATTATTTTTGTAGATTGCATATATATATATATATAGAGAAGTGATCATATGAGAATGGAAGATAGTGAAAGAAATAAGAATGATTATGAACCGTTGGATAAGTTATATCAATGGACATTGTGAAGTCAAAATTGAGTTAATAGGTCAAACATGTAATGACAAAACTGTAAATATATTATCATATCATCATGACCAAATAAATAGTTAGAAGGACAATGTTGTAATTTTACCAAACAACAAAATTAGTGGGCCCCACTCATTAAATCCAAAGCTTTTTCTCTCTCCTCTCCCCTCTCTTTCTCCCCGTTTCTCTCTTCTCTCTCCTCTCCTCTCTCTCCTCTCTCCTTTTTCTTCTCCTTCCTCTCTCACTGTCTATCTCTCCTCCATTTTTCCTCGCCGGCAGTTCGCGGCCCGACTGAAGGCGCATCACGCCACCGTCAATCATGTGGCCGTCGACTGAAGACGCCTCCCAACAAGACAGTCGTTCACCTCGCCGTCTGAGATAGGTCCGATGCCTCCACCTTACGCAGATTCCGGCAACTCGTATGGAGCTCACGGCGAGTGTTCCAAACATCGACGGTCACCACAATTGCCGCCGTCAACGAACCTCCACCAC